GAGATGGATGGGAGAGAGTTACTAGTCTTTAAACAACTAAGAATCTTGATTATGATGAATATCTGACCACATTAAAAAATACTCATCTTGCTAATTTATAACCAAGCCAAGACCATCATTTTAGGTGGTAATTTTTTAAAAGTTGATTTTCAGGAAACCAGCAGTGTGTACGAACACGCTAAGGGTGCTATTGTGCTTAAATCACTATGCTTATAAGGACGAAATAGACTCCATGTGAAACAGGCACATTTCATTCTATTTTGATTCTTGTGCCCCAACATACATGGAATTCATCTCTTTCTGCTTCTATCTTAGCCATGCCCTCAGCTTAACTTTCCTTATTGCTGTTTTTCAGTCCTGTAACTTAATTAGGTTTCTTGAACATCTTTGGTTAGACCTCCTTACTTAGGAAATTATAGAAAGACATTGTGCACTCTCAAGTGATGAGCTGTGAAGATAAATTATACCCCATGGCATGCTAGCATTATGATCTTCATCTTCAAAAACTGTTCTCTTCCAAGAGAGCACCGCTGATCTGCTGGTAGAAGCTTTCAACTTGTGCTGCCAAACACTGCAAATCAAATTTTAATAGTAACATTGTGACTTTAATTAAACTTCTCCTATAAATCTCCGAAAGGTGGTGTGACTGCTTGAGAAATTGGGTACTCAACAGTGTTCATGTCAAGATATTAATGAAATGAAGTGGAATGATTTCTAGAAATCTGTGTGGATGGGAGACAGGGCCCTTTCCACACACATCTATGAAACATTTATGAAGGTGCTCTCGAGATAATCATCATACAGCAGGTGTTTTTACTGGATGTCTTAGAAGTTCTGTGAGTCATCTAGTCTTGAACAGCTAGACTACTGGCTGAAGTTGCTTCCCTCTGGCCAAACTGTTTTGGCTTAAACAATCTGACTGTTTTTCATCTAGTAAACGAACCAACTTTCTGAAAGATTTCTTACACATTTTCCCATGTTCCTTATGTTCCTACCTTGTGGATGATAGTGTTCCAAGGACCATATCCAGTTAGCTAAGGAAAATCTGAAGTTTCTCATAGGACAGCTTTGAGAATAGGGGCCTTTGCCCTAAAGAGGAACTTTTAAAACTATAGGCAAATGAATTTGTTTAAGAGCAAGTTCAAACAAAACCATTACTCTTTATATCCAAGAATTGTCCAAATCTCCCATTTATCTTAAAATTAAGATAGACACCCATAGGGAAACAAAAAGATAAAATAAAACAAGATCAACCTACATTTCTACATTTCTTCTTAGTTTGTAGAACATTTTCACAAACGGGTTCTCTTTCTCTCTCTTTCTCTCTCTCTCCTGTGTGCATGCATATTTAACTTTCTGTATGCAATTCCCTTATTTCCATAATGTTCTTGAGTTTTATATTAAAGAGTCATTATGAGAAGCAAGTGAAGCCACGAAAAGTTTGATTATCTCTATTCTCACCTTTTTGTGAAGCAAATGAGGTAGACTCACTAGACACTGGCTAGGCCCAGAGAGTGTGAAAAATGCAATTCAGACTGAGTCATTGCTTGCTATTTTCATAATTGAGACCCTAATTCAGATGGACTCCGTGAGTGGTTGCATTGACCAAGCAAGGCACAAGGCCACAGGCTTCTGCGGGGTGTTATCTCATTTGCAACACATTTCAAACTTCAGAACCGATTTTTCAATTGGAAGTTGAAAGCCGAAGATTGTCAGTAGAAAAGACTGATTCACCCTCCGGAACTTATCTTTCTCCAAGTTCCAGGAGGAGCATTTAAAGAGGTTATCTAGGGCAGGTGAGGTGGCTCTGTTGTTAAAGGCACTTGCTGCCAAACCTAATGACTTGTGTTTGATCCTGAGAATCCACATGGTGGAAGCAGAGAACCTACTCCTGCATGTTGTCTGAGTTCTACACAGGTGCCATGGCATGTGTGCATGTACACTACACACACACACACACACACACACACACACACACACACACACACACAAATAAAATGAAAAATTGTAATGATTACTGTTTCAAAAGAAGTTCCCTGAAAGAACATAGGGAACAATTACAACACATGGCAATCAGAAAAAGGGCAACATCTTATCTTCTTTGGACCTTGCGCTTATTGGAAGGGGAACTTCCTACCCTTAGGTACCTCTATTTCAGCACGAGTCCTTCATGTGTATCTATCCCTAAATGAGTTATTGTTTTTTTTCCTCCAAACATTTCTTTAGTGGTGAGAGTCTTTAGTGGTTGGAATCATAACTATAAGCTCTTCCTTAGTAGTTGGTAAGGTGGTATTTAGCAAACAGAGCCTTGGCAAGGTTCTAGGAAGATATATAAGAAAAACCTTGAATAATTTTGACAGTGGTAGGCTCATGATTAATTGGCCTTTGCTTTGATTTGGAACTGTATGCAGTTAGAAAATTATGAAAATACCTCAGAAGTCTCTTAAATGAAAGGAACTATACAAATGGCAGACAACGGTTTTGACCCGAGACACATATTAAGGTTCTGCTTGGAGAATGCTAACTTGTCTATGAAGAAAAAGCAGACAGGCTCTTATCAGCACAGCAAGATCTGTGTTGCAACTGAACTGCATGGCAGAGGTCTGGAGTGGTCCACTACAGGCCCCTCCTACTTAAGCAAGAAGTTGCGGTAGCTGGAAAAAAAATGAAGACTTAATAATACATTGTCATCCACAACTACAAAGCAGGTAGAGCCAGAAAGGGAGCCCACACAAAAATTCCCAAGGAAGGTGGCGCTTTCCAGCTTATCTCTGTTATCCTTGGATGGGCAGTCATCCCATTACCACTAATTAGACATGCCAAAGTCATTGTTCTAACTTGTTGCTTCACTAAAGGGGCATGTGCGCCCTCGTGATGTGATTTCTAGAAATGCCAACTGTTTGCCAGTGTCTCAAGCATTCAGCAGGACAGTTTTGTCCCTGAGAGAAGAAGAAAACAGCAAGTTTTCCTTGCAAAGCTGGTGGAAGTGGTGGGTGGAGGAGATAAGGCACGAGATTTTTTTTTATAGTAGACAACTTGATAGAAAATGCTTTTGTTCCATGTATTATCTTCGCAGAGTTAGCACTGAGAAATGTAATTGCAATAAATTGGCGTAAAAGCCAACTAGGAGAGGGACTGGAAATCCCCCTGGAGACACCAGCCTGTCACTTCCTCTTAATGGCAGCAAAGCATAATTGTGGACAAGTGCAGTGGAGTTACATCATTGCATTTTCCTCCCAGCAGTGCCCTGTTACCTTGTATTTCCTGACGACGCAGAGCACTTCCTCTGCTTCCAAAGTGTGGCACAACACATGAGAGCAGGTAGGAAGAGGCCTATCCTTTATTTCACGCCAACACTGTGTTAATTAGTACACACCGACGGGAAAGGGGGGTAAGGCACAGTTCTCTGCTGGATTTCTTATAAGTTTCTTAGTGCTGCATTGAAAATATGGCCCCTGGCATGCACTTTGCCCTCTTCATGACATCATGAAGCGATCTGCTTTATCATACTCCCTTTCTGGTCACAACTGGCTTTTGGATTCTCCAGAATGCCAAACACAGAGTCACATAGGCGCTCACACACAAAGGACTGTGCCCAAGCTAAATTGAGAGGGGGTGCTTGTCCACCTACTCCTGCACTCCCCCAAAGCAGAAAACATCCTCAGGTTTCCATTTCCACGTAAAACTCAGCAAGAAAAGAAAGAGAATAAGCCAGCTTTGGCCATCATTCACACGGCTGGCTGTTACTCATTCTCTGAGGAGTTGTCCATTAACTAGCCACATCTCTGGCTCTTCCGTTAGCATCACAGGGAGGAGTTTGCACCCCCTGGATAATTAACCACTGGAAAAGCTCCCAATTAACATTCATCTCCCGCCCCAGACACATAAGTACACCCCAGCCACACTGTTAAAGGAAATATCTTTTCTGGTCCACAGTGTGTGACTTCAGTAAGTGAAAGTGAAGACACGCAGACTGATACAGCTTGCAGTGACTATCACAAGAAAGTGTCTTCATACAAAAAAATGAGTGGGTGAGAAAAATGTGTGAATGTTCCACATGATTAAACTTCTTGGTTCTCGAATGTTCTCAGTAGTAGTTAAGTTAGGCGACCAGCCCCTTGCAAGCAGGGACCTGCATGTAACTTCTCATAAAATATGGATTTTATTGCAGTAGCAACAACACTTCTCAGTACCACGTTGACCTCGACAGCATCTCCCATCTCGACATGGACCATAACTCTTGGCAGGCGAGTAACTATGGAGGAAGTGACCCCAGCTCTGCGGCAGTATAGGACTCTGCAATGACCGCCTTCATTAAATTCCACATGAACGCACTGGGACCTCTGCTCTAGCATTTGACACCTAAAATCAGGCGCATCAGATCTGTTCACCAAACAACAGAGCAAGGCATTCTACCCCAGATGTGTGTGTGTAAGTGTGTGTGCGCGCGCTTGTGCGTGTGCGTGTGTCTCCGTGAAACAGCACCAGCGAGCGGCGTCTTCCACATGACTTTTCCCCGGACAGTGTGCTCCATTTTCGAAGTCCAGTGTCGGACTTGCCTTGCAACCTAAGCATTTCTGTCCTATAGAAGCCTTCAGGCATTGCTCTGAACATGCAAGCTAACAGTTTTCTTTAGCCCATTCTCTCAGCCAAACCACCTCTGTAAGTTTTCCTTATTGGGTGCATTCCAGAGTTTTCAGACTACCTGAATTAATTTCTGCGTTACTCTCAATACAAAAAAAAAAAAAAAACCCGCAACTCAGCCCAAGCAGTCACCATACAGACCCTTGTATTGTTGGGTAGGTGGAAATAAATCAAGCCCCAAACGGCTCCATCGCTTCTGCACGCACTAGCGCCCTTGGTAATTGACCAGCCAACTTTGCAAAGCTGGAGCTCGGCTGGCCGCCTTTGCCAGCCCCACCGAGAAGACGTAGGCAGCTTCCTCTAGTCCGCACTGTTCCCTGCCACCCCCCACAAACCCCTAGGCGGCTCGGTCTTACCAGGCGACGGAGGAGCGGCGCCCAGGCTCCCCGGGAAGCGGCGCTGGTCCTAGGCAGGGACAGCAGCGCCACCAACGCAGCCCGACCCGCGCGCCCGCCCGCCCGCACTCCAGCTCGAGGCTGAGCATCCCTCCAACTCCGCGCGCCGCACACACCCGGCGCCGAGGACCGCTCTCTTTCTCTGATTGGCTTCCATCAACGCTACAGAACTAAAGATATGTATATATCAAGGAGAAAGAGAGGGAAAGAAAGAAAGAAAACGCACGCACAAGCTTCCGCATTCCCAACAGAGACTGAACCCACCTCTGTTCGCGTTCCGGATCCTGGGGACACCCTGCAACTAGCCTAGGATGCTCCTGCCTCCGCCACGGTCGCCGGTTCTGCGCTTCTTGCTGCTGTGGCTGGAACTGCAGCTCTCGGGATGGGAAGGTTATGGCTCGGGAGAGCTGGCTCTTGTGGGCACACACTGATTTGCAAGTGAATGAAGTGGGAGGGAGCAGAGAGAGGAGGACTTTGTTACAGAGGCCCAGTGCCTGCCCCCGCCCGCCCCCTCCCCTTGACAGAATGACTCTCAGTGTTTGAAGTCCGGAGCAGTTCGCTCTCTGGAACACTCCTGCAGCTCCAGGCTTTTCCTTCCTCTTTTTTTCTTATATTTTTTGGGGGTACGGCTTAAGACATACTGAGAACTTGTGTGACTCTATCTGATCTTTCTTTTATGCTGTCAAAATGCACGGTGTTCAATTACCAGCTACGGTCGGATGTTCTTTTCTAATAGACTAGGCAATTAAGATTCCCAGGGACACGGTACCGCGTGGCGCTGTGGGCCAGTTTGGGGAGACAGCACGCATATCATGCACGCGAATAAAACAACCCCGGTCTCCTGAGGTAACAATACCGACGGCTGTTCTTTATAGAATAAACAGACGCGAGCAGATTCATGAATGTCTTTGCTTCTTTCATTTCAAGAACACGGGGTTTTGTTTTGTAGCTTCAGGAGCTCCGATGCTGTTTTGGAGTGGGTAACTCCAGAGTGCTGTAGCATGAAGCCATATGCCCCGGAGAATGTAGAAGCGGTTCAAATCCAAACCCCTCAGGATCACCAATGCCTTCATGGTTATTTATCTTTCTAAATGAGCAGAGACCAGGACCGACTACTCTTGCGGATTAGTGTGTAGATTGATATTTAGTACTTGTTTCTGGGAAGTTACTGAAGTAGGATAACGTCTATGTTAAACTCCTTGGTATACATAGCTATCTGAATGGCTATCCTTAGACTTGCCAAGAAACGACTTCTACTCCGAAGGCACTAAGCACAGAAATCTCAACGACGTCAAAGCATTGTTAAAGGGGAATCATGACTTTTCTGCGTAGAAGATGTAGACATGTTGCAGCCATATACTGTTGGATTAAGGAAATTAAATCTAATTACCACAACGGTTTCACCCCGGGTCAGTCCCATCCCAAGCCAGCTGTTTGTGTATGCAAGATTTTCATTGCCTGGTGCTCTATAGTCATTGCAGCCACTTGGCTTCTGAGTGATTTAACTAGCTAGAGGTTGGTCTTCTTCCCAAGAGAGCTCTTACTAGAAAATCTTTTGTGTCCCTAATAGAAGTTCAGGCATTTTAATGAAGCCCAAATCAAAGTATTTCTTCCAGGCAGCCGGTGCTTCAAAGCATTGTATGTGGAACAGTCTAGGCACAGATGTTCAGCACATGGATGGGGGAGGACTTAAAAAGACATCGCTGTGATGCAGAGCTGCCTTCGGTTTGCAGACGGGAGTCTGAGCATGTTCCCTTCATGAGGCCATTTGAACTGACTGCCGTGGAGAAGGGCTAAGGGGCTTCACATTCTCTCTTCCCTCCGGTTACACACCTCTTAATTTGAGAGACTATCTTGCTACGTTTATATAGTCCTTTACAGCTCACAGAGTATTCTTAGAGACTGTTTGATGGGATTCTTTTGTCAATATGATGTGGTTTTTTTTTCTGTCAAAAAATACAGAGGAACTAGGTGGATAAAGGCACAATAGAGGCTAAGAACTGTGTCTAAGGTAATAAAACTCGGAAGAACAAGAGATGAAGAACCTGAATGTATATATGCCAACTAGGGTGTCCACAAAGTATGTGTGTATATGTGATTAATTAGCACGTGTGATAATAAATTGATGAAGGAACATATACAAGTATGTTAATAAAAACACATTGTGTAAGAGTGCCTCTAGCAGACAGATGAATAAATTAACTGATTTTATGCTATATGAAGGGTGATACTGAGGTAGATTTTCTATCCACCGAACCAGTTAATATCTCACAAAGGAAATTTCTTAATTATTTGTGATGTATTACCCTTCAAACTCCATTAGCTACCCATCAAAGGTGGTTAAAACAACCTCATTTTATTAAGAGTGGACAATCAGCTTGCTCCTGAGCAGTTTCATGTGGCAGCACTAAGTGACATTAAGGAGATTGTAACCCCAGGATATTGTACTAAAGGACTTTATGTGATTCTTGGAACTTCCTACTGACATTTACCACAATGACTATTAATGTTCAATTATGATATTGATAAAAAATACCCAGGGTTATTTCAGTGGACAGAGCATTACCCATTACTGCTAAGTCCTGCTGAAAGTTGCTCTTTGGCACCCTGGAACACCTTGACAAGCTGTGCAAGCTAGTCAGAGAATGCTGAGCAAATGCTGCAATCCTTATCATCACATGGGGTTTTCTAGTGAGCCCAAGAGTGAGAGTCTGCTGGGCCTCTGGGCAGGTCTAGAAGCAGGTGTTGAGAAGGCATCAGCATTCTGCTTTGAGTTATTCTCCTGCCTTCACTTTGCTGTTACTTTGTTTCTCTTCACACCAGCCCTCCTCAGTCCTTACCTCCACCGGGCAAAGGGTGTGGCTGGTTCCACAAGCTTGCCTGTTAGAAGGGCAAGAGAGTTTCTCTCTTTGTCCCTCCCCCCCCCCCCACCGCCATTTAATTTCTTGAGAATAGCTTTGATTGGTCAGGCTCCTCCAAGAATGGGTAGGGAGCTGGGCCTGGGAAGGGAGTAGAGGGCACACTCTGATGGCTATCCTGGCTTTTCTAGGACCAACGTGAACAGATACTTCGGGTGTGTCATTGGATGCTGGGAAGACAATCTATAAAAGCTCTCATTTGCCATTTTTCCCCTGTTTTCTTTAGTAGATTGGTGACCTTGAAATAGTGCCAGGGCATGTCATTGTTTTCTATGTACATGGTAGCCAACATTACTTTACTCCTCCCCATTTTTGTTGTTTCATTGTAAAAGAGACTCTCCTTCAGAGACCATGACTAGGGATAGTGTGTGTGTGTGTGTGTGTGTGTGTGTGTGTGTGTGTGTGTGTGTGTGTGTGTGTGTGTGTGGTGGTACCTTCCTCTATTGTTTCCCACTTTATTTATTTTTGAGACAGTGTGTCCTACTGAATGTGAAGCTCAAGGGTTGACCAGACTGGTTGGCCAGTGATGTATAGAGACCTACCTGTTTCTACTCCTCAGCACTGAGATTACTGGTATGCCACAAGAGTCACTTTTACAACAATTCTAAGGACCTGAACTCAGGTTCTCATGCTTGTGCATCAAGTATTTTACTTACTGACTCATCTCCTCAGCCCAGAATATTAGTTTTATGAAGAATGCTCTGCTTTCTCCTAAGTCTATCTTCAGATGATCAACAGACTGTCTTATCCTTGTAATAGGGATACATACAAATAAATAATCACTGGGGCTGAAGGGATGGCTCAGTGGTTAAGGGCACTGATTATTCTAGCAGAGGACTCAGGTTTGATTCTCATCCCCACATGGTGGCTTACAACTGTCTGTAACTCCAATTGCAGGGACTCTGACGCTTGGCTGTAAACTGAACCCTAAATGTGCTACTGTTGGGAAAAGCACACATTTGTATTGCTCATGGCTTCATCATTGTGGTAAACCCAAGGCACAAACGTCCTTCCCCCACATCTGCTTTGTATGTTTGAATGCACACACATCCGAATGTGTCAGTGAAAGACAGGACCATGAATAAAAGGGTGGGAGGCAACTTTAGTGGCTTCTAAGTGAAGCAAAACAAAGGAGACAGGAACTCTCTATGGAATTTCCATTTTTATAGCACCATAGACATCTCAATATGAGCTCAAGCAAATCCATACAATCCGTACATGCTTCTGTAGGTCCCCAGCCCTGGGAGAGCTTCCAATACGGTATCTAACGTGGGCTGGATCTGTGGTTGCATTAAGATGTTTCCCTCTGGTCATTATATTTGAATCATTAGCACAGGTAGATTACAGCAAGACAGGAGACTTCCCAATGAGATAAATGCATAGCAGCAAAAGTCAGTGACCTATACAAAGTATTTTTAATACACTGGGCATTTCAGGAGAGATAGAATGGACTTATTTCTTCTTCTTTTGTCCATTTTTTTATATTTTATTCACTGCCCTGTTGTAGAATATACATTTGTCTGTTCATATATGTACAACTCAACTTTGGTAGACTGGCAACCAAAATTATACTATTACAGTGAAGGATCAGGCTTTTGTTCAGGACAGACTGACCATTAGGAAGAAATTTAACATGCTAGTATGCTCTTTCTCTTCAATATTGTTTGTAGTTTTGGGGATCAAACTGAGCGCCTTTGCATGTGCTAGGCAGGAGCTCTGCCTCTTTTTTTCCAAGATAAAGGTTTCTCTGTGTAGCTCTGGCTGTTCAGGAACCCAGTAGAACAGGCTAACCTTGATCTCAGAGATCTACTTGCCTCTGCCTCCCAAGTGCTAGGACGAAAGGCATGTGCCACTACCTCCCGGTTTAGTATAGTCTTTCAAATAAGTGGTATATACCAAAATAAACACAAAATCCCACATTTTCCTCCAAAAAGGAAAAAATAATAGTTCTCCTCTCACACCAACCTACCTCTCAATTTTAGAAATACTTGATTAGAAAGAGTGACAAGCTGAAGTGGGGGAAGACAATATAATAGCATATGTTCAAAAATATTTTGGGATTTTATAGATAGTGAGAACATCAAATTTCACAGTGTATCATGGCTGTCAAAAAGAAGACAAAGATGAAGATGAGAGGATGGGAAAAGGCAAGTTAGTTTAAGTGTAAGTACTCTGTCCAGAGTAGACCCACGCTCAGCTCACCTTGGCCTTCAGTACCTCTCTGGGTACTTAGATTCCCTTTTCCTCTTGGTTTCTTATCTTCTCTTACACATGCTAAGACACCCTTAGTGGTCTGGCTAGACTTCATTGTTTACATATTCTGTTTCATCTGCTATTTATATTTGCACTGATTTATTGAAGTCACAGCATTTATTTGTTTTAGTTATCATTTTACCTCTGACGCTGGAGAAAATGCTTGGTGTTTATATGAACAAATAAGCTGAAATTCGGACGGATGTGATTGGATTCAATGGATGGAAAGTGGAGATGAGTTTAAGATCATGAGTATGAGTTAGTGGTAATAAGACTGAAAAAAAAGAATTCCTGTCCTTGGAGAACTGTCCTATGGAAT